AATATTTGTTTTTACTCATGATTCTATTGGAGTAGGAGAAGATGGACCAACACATCAACCAATTGAACATCTTATTTCATATCGATCAATGCCTAATTGTGTTGTTATTCGACCATCAGATGCAAATGAAACACGTGTAGCATGGAAGATAGCTATTGAAAGAACTAATGGACCAACTCTTTTGATTATGGCAAGACAAAATAGTAAGATTATTGATAGAACTGTTTTTGCATCATCAGAAAATGTAAGAAAAGGAGGATATGTTTTAAGAGATTATGGAACACCAGAAATCATTCTTATGGCTACAGGAACAGAAGTAGATATTGCTATTAATGCAGCAGAGAAACTTCATAAGGAAGGACTTGGAGTTAGAGTTGTTTCACTTCCATCATGGGAATTATTCAGTCAACAAAGTGATGAATATAGAGAGTCAGTTCTTCCAAGAAAGATTCATGCTCGAGTATCAGTCGAAGCATCATCAACTATGGGATGGGAGAAGTTTATTGGAGATTGTGGTGTTGCTGTTGGAATGCATTCATTTGGAGCATCAGCACCAATCAATAAGTTGTATGAGAAGTTTGGTATTACCTCAGACAAAGTTGTTGAAGCTGCACACAAATCAATCGAAAATGTTAAGAATTGGTAATTTGACTATTCTTTATTTTTCTATTTTATTGTTTATTGTCTTTTTAAGTTTTTCTTCTAATTCATTAATTTGATTTTTCAGTGCAAGTATTTTTTCGTTATCTTTATCTTCTTCTTTATTTCTTCTTGTATTTTCATTGTACTTTGTTTGTTATTTATTATTCTTGTAATTTTACATCTTTCATTCATTTCTTTATTTGTGTTTTGTTTTTAATTTCTTCTTCATTTGTTTTAATGTCTTTTCTTCAATGTCTTTTGTTTTCTTTAATTTCTTCTTTAATTCTTTCAATTATCTTTTCATTTTGATTGAATATACTTCTTGTTGAATATCATTCCATCTTTTCCTCTTACCTTCATATTTTTTGAGTATTTCTGAATATTCTCCTTTATTCCATTCACTTGTTATTCTTTTTATTCTTCTTTTCTATATCATTTATTGTTATTCATTTATATTTGTTATTTGTATAATCTTTATTATTATTGTTTATCTTGTTTCTTATTTGTTTTTCTTTGTGTCTTTCTCTTTCTAATTCATTTTTCCTTGGTAATATCATTTACTTTCATTATTATTATGCCATTCATTGTTATTGACATTCGTTCTTTTATTGAATGACATGTGTATTTATCTCTTGTCTGCTTTTCTTTACAATACACAAATGTTTTATACAATATCCATTGAAATAACATTTGTTATATTTCCTGCATTGGAAAAGGGTCTGAAGATAATCAAATAAAATAAACATAAAAATAAATCACTTACATAATTTCATCAATTAAGATTAAGAATAAACTTATTATTCTTTCATTTTCATTATTAAAAAATAATAATAAAAAGAAAACAAACAACTAATAAACTAAACTGTATTTTGTTGATTTGCTGTTATCTTTAGTTATTCATTCTTGTGATTAATAAGTTAATTATTTGATCTTTCTCGTTAAATGGAATTTACATCAGAATATCTAAATGAATTGACATTTATCAAGTGAGAATTTTAAAACCATACAAAACAACCTAACAAGGTGAAAGTATCAGAATATGTATTATCAAAGGATATTCAATCGAGATCAATTCATTGAATCAATTTATTATAAAATCACTTCAACTATTCAAAGTCAATGAAATTCATCTATATTCAATTACAATGAACTTTAGAATAACAATATTTTGTGTGAATATGAAGAAGAGAATTATCAAAAACATAAAATGAAATGATGAATAAAAATACAGATGAAATATTCAAAATTAATAAAACATGAATAATTAAAATAAATATAAAAGAATGACTCTTTTGTATATTTTCAAATTAATAATTATTAAATATTAATAAACTAATGAAATGAGTGTAAATAATAATAAGAATTTAAATCAAATAAAATGAAATATGAATAATGATAAATAATTAATATTTCATTGAATAAAATATTATTTAAAACTAATGTTTCATTTATTAATTATTTCATTAATTATTCATTTTATTTAAATCATTGTTTATTTAAAATATAATTTATCATGTTTTATAATAAGTTATTTAAAATAAATTTAAATAAAAATTCATTTAATTTTTTTGAATTGCTTCATCAAACATACCGTAGAAATAAAATCATATCATCTTTCTAATGTTATTCAATCATTGTATATACTTACTATTTTTTCAATTATTTCTTCTTTATGATGAATATTTCTGACATGTTATTTTCTAGTTATTCTTAGTCGACAAATTCAACCTCTTCTTTTACAAACATAAATAACTTGGTAATTTTGTGTTCTTTTTATTTCTTTCACTTCTTTCAATTTCCAAATCACAATAGTTGATTTCTTCTATATATTTATTCTTTTAATTCTTTGTAATTTTATTATTTTTATTTATTTAGGTATGCTTTTCTTGTTTAATGTTTTGTTCTTTTATCTCTTTCTTCAGTAATACTATGATAATCATTTTCTCTTTTTCATTTATTCTACATTAATTGATGTTAATAATATTATCATTGTCAACACTCTTACAATTTCATTTTCAGATTATGTGTTATCATAACAAGATGAACTTTTTAACTTATTAAATTACATTGGAAATTTAATATTTTCCAGCTATTCCATTAAAAATTTCCATCAATTTTTGTTAATATTTATCTTCTTTTATTCTTTTCTTCATGAATTTCTTTATGAATAGAATAATAGCATATAATCAATGCGATATAAACATGTCTCTGAATGTCTAATATTGGAAAAATATGCGATATCATTTTATTCATTGTTTTATTATTTTATGAAAACCTTGATTGAAATTCAAAACATTATTAATTATTTAAAGTTCTTTTTGTTCTTTTTTTAAATATATTCAATTATTTACTCATATATATTCTTTTCATTCTACTGTGCCTTGTAATATGAGCGTATCAATAATAAATATATCTTATTTATCACCTTCTTATTATTATTTTGTTTCTTTAATTTCTGATTTTACGTTATTATTTTCTTTCAAAACATTCTTCTTCATTTTGAATTTACAAATTGTATTTTCTATCATTTATATTTCAAAGGATAAGTAATTTATTTTGTCTAATATTCGATATTTGGTTTTAATTGTTAGTTGCTTAAAAGTATTTAAACATAATAATTAGTTATCAATTTGAAGAATGTTATGTATGTATTATTAGTAAAAAATATCTTATGCTCCTTTGAAATAAACAACTGACAATTCTACTAGTTTCAGATACTGATCATATTATGTAGTAATTGAATGAGATACAACAAAGTATTATAAAAGAATGAAATATTTTATCGAATTTGACATAACCAATATTATAATTATTTAATATAAGATAATCTTAGATTAATATCGTAAGCAATTAGTTTTACATAAAAAAGTGTGTTGGGAAAGGAATGGAGATAGAAGCTTCTTAAACATGTAGGAATAAATTTATAGATAATAATACGTAATAGGATAAGTTTATTTAATGACAGGAAATACAAACATTATTAAATAAAAATAAGTGTGTAACGCTATGATTAAAGTATAAAAGAGAATAAATACTTTTACATATTTTAAAAATACATATATTATTATAACTTTCATCGGTCTATTAGACGGATGACCTAGAGTTAATAATAGTGACAGAGCATATACAAGATATATTCATGAAGTAATAAT